AAGTTTCAAATTTAAGGGGCCACATCACGTAAGGGATTGTAAGCGTTTCGTAAAAACCAAACTACAAAAAAACTGCTCCAGATATCGAGATGAACTAATTAAATTTATATAAACGAAGGATTATACAACCAGCCTACAAAAGCGGTTTTTTGATATAATACATATTTATTGTAGAAAAATATTGCTGAAGATCGCCTTTTTTTGCTCTTTTTTGAACGCAAATATGAGTGACGGATTTTTTTTTTTGAAAAATCGCTCTTTAGGCTGGTAGGTTGAACCCTTGTAAGTTTTTGTTCCAAAAATGAAGTCTGTTATTGCTTTATTGACGCCGTAGTTTGGTTTTTTGTGAGCACTGATTTGATGCATTTTTGACTAAAATTATTTAATACAGCATTAAGAGGGGCGTTTAAATAAAATGTAATTTAAAGACCTTCACAAATTTCTGTTCAATTCCAAATTTATACCACTTTTCAGTGAAATGAAGTTATGTTCATAACAATAGTAGATCGGAGAATGGGTCGAAGCATTTTTGGTTCCACAGTACGCAGTCTAAGAAGTAAAATTATTACCAATTTTATTGACAACAGCATGCAAATTTTGGTCACGGATTTAAATGAAAAATGGATAAACACATAGAGTAGCACAGCAACAATAAATTTCCAAAATTTCGGACCATAAAATGCTGGAATAAATGAAAAGAACTGAATTTCCGAAAATTTATGATGTTTTTATTCTAAAATTAATCAAAATCTGCCAAATAAGGAGGTTAGTTGGGGAGCTGGCGTCAAAAACATGCAAGAGTTTTCGCAAGGCGGATATTTTCAAAATAGGTCCTACTTTAGTGCTAGAATGCTAGTGTACAGTCAGCACTCACAATTCCGGGACATCTGGCTCTGGGACGCGGGCAAAGTTGTAATTTTAAGAAGCATCTAAACTGTTTTCTCAAAGCTCAAAATTTATAGAAATTTTGCACATTATCTGTTTGAAGGTCACAGATAAGGTATGTAAATCGTCAGACGTCTAGTTCGTTGCAAAAAGGGGGTCAGACGTCCTCAAAGTTTTTATTTTATGGCATTTTCTTCGGTGTCCTGTCAAAATATATTTTTGCAGGTATTTGACAAATATATTTGAATAAAAAGGCCATAAAATAAAAACTTTGAGGACGTCTGACCCCCTTTTTGCAACAAACTAGACGTCTGACGATTTACATACGTTACCTGTGACCTTCAAACAGATAATGTGCAAAATTTCTATAAATTTTGAGCTTTGAGAAAACAGTTTAGATGCTTCTTAAAATTACAACTTGGCCCGCGTCCCAGAGCCAGCTGTCCCGGAATTGTGAGTGCTGACTGTACACTAGCATTCTAGCACTAAAGTACGACCTATTTTGAAAATATCCGCCTTGCGAAAACTCTTGCATGTTTTTGGCGCCACCTCCTGGACTAGGTGATTGCTGTCATTTTCAGCAGAGACTCAAACCAACTATAGCCAAAAACTGGAATGCGCACACATTGCCATATCTGCCAAAAAAATGTAGCCATGAAGACAGATGCCATAAGGGGGATAATGTTGTTTTTTTCTGTTGCTCGCTGACATATGACGTTTTCGAAAGATTTGTCATATTTTCCTTCACAGGTTTCATCAATTGGAATACGTGTTGGAAGCAATTTCCGCCATTTAACATAATGAGTGCAAACAGGTTTCCCCTCCGCAGCAGCGGCACTAGGCTTCATGTTCGTCAATATGTGTACGCATTCCAGTTTTTGGTTATAGTTCATTGCTCAAACCAAACGTGTGTTCAGAGCTTCTCTTAAAGATGTCGCTGAATTCTGGAAGCTTAGTCACTTCTTTCCGAGCTTCTTTCAAACGCTAGTAAAAACTGTTTTACCTAGCTGATAATGTGAAATACTATTATTTCATTTGCACCTGAATAAAATTATTCAGTCCACTGTATATTACTGTGTAAACGAATTGATATTGAAGATGTCGCCATCTACTTGTAAATACCAAGTCAATCATTTACAGGGAATGCACACCTGTGATTAAATAGTTATTTACATTACAAGTGCGTTTATGAACATGATGATGACAATAACGAATGTGAAAGAATAGAACGACGAGGTCGTAGACCGAGTCCTTCTAATCACACGAGTTTTGTAGTCATGTTTAAACGCACGTGTGATGTACAACTTTTTATCTACAAAGCGAAAAATAAGAATTTTTTTTTTCAATCATTTTCGTTTATTAGTCGTTGTATACCTTCATTTTACCTTTACAGGTTTACCTTTGACATTTGTCAAATCAATCACCAAAAATAGTTGTTATGAATTCATAACCTTGTCCATAACACCACTAGTTGTGTTATGAATTCATAACCTAGTCCATAACACAACTAGTTGTGTTATGAGCCTCATGACATAACTCAAATACTGGAAAAATAGTTATGTAAAAACGTCATAACCAAACGCTTGTAGATAAAGATATTTAATGTATGTCATAAAGCCCAAAAGATGGCATGCTGGCTCTTATCTGACGCCACTCTTAAAACGATTTATTGTAGTGTAATTTTGTTCCATTAAGCTTTTTAATGCATGTCGCAATTGTCTAGCTTTTCTTGAACTTTCGTCTCGCCGTCTGTGACTAAATAGCTTTTTGCCTGTAGTGGAGCCTTAATAGAATATGAAACTGCGGCGTAGTCCCGATATTATAAGTTTTGGACATAAATTAAAATGACACTCTGTATATTAATAAAAGGACCCCTCTTATGGGTTTTTGGTTTTCTGTCAAACTCAATGAAATTTTGATATGTGTTACACCTTGACTTACTGATATAAGTTCTCATAGGCCCTAGACCCAACCCGATACTATGAATAGTTTTCGAGACACAGGTAGTGAAATAAATGTACAGGGTGTTTTTTCATATATTGACACCCCACCTACAGTCTTTACCTTTACAGATAGAAGAAAGGTGCAAATACAAAAGTTGTAATAACTTTAAAAATAAAGAAATGACAGTTTAAAATGTTATCAAGATAAAATGATCACACTGTACATATTTTATAGGCATTTACATCTATTTAACTATCAATAATATACCACGATGGACAGGTATCCTCATGCTCAGGTGACAGGTCAGAGCTGGGCAAAGCCCTCAGTAAAAGGGCTTGAAGCACTAAGCCCTAAGCCCTCTATCAAAGTGCTTCAATTTCAAGCACAAATTCCTTTTTATTTTCAAAAGTGCTTCAGAAGCACAAAGCCCTCAAAGTGCTTTGGGCTTGACAAGCACAAAGCCCTCAAAGTGATTTGAAAAGTGCTTGAAGCACATCAAAAGTGCTGGGGTGCCTTGAAAAGGGCTTCAAGCTCTTTAAATGTGCTTCAAGCTCTTTAAATGTGCTTCAAGCTCTTTAAATGTGCCTAGAGCACTTTGAATTTGTAATAAAATTCTCAAAGTGGCATAAGCTACCGCGTACACTCATCACACAGAATTGGTATAGTAGAGACGAACTTTACATTTCACAGAGTAGCAGTAGTATGTTTTTTTTGAGATGTAGTTCTGGGGTACTTGGGGTAGTTGGGGTACTACATGGTAATTCAATTTTAGGGTTTTCAAAATGTTCAATGGGGAAAAGTGGAAAAAATCCAGTGATAAAGTTAAATAGGGTACCAATATCAATTAATTATTTATTTGAATAATAAGTTCATTCATTTTTTTTCTAAATTCCATTCTAAGATCAAACCCAAAACCTCCATTGTTAAGAGAGAAAAGACATGAGACGGTTCAAGTTCAAATAATAGAAAAAAAAAATTAAGGGACAAAACATGATCGAAAATTTTTAAGTGGGGGATAGGTTGAATGATGGTCAATTCAAATTCCTTTCAAAATGCTTCAAGCCCTTTTAAAGTGCTTCAAGCCCTTTTAAAGTGCTTCAAGCCCTTTCAAAGTGCTTCAAGCTCCCAAAAGTGCTTCAAGCCCTCTTAAAGTGCTTCAAGCCCTTTCAAAGGGCTTCAAGCTCCCAAAAGTGCTTCAAGCCCTCTAAAAGTATTTGAAGCTCATTGAAAGGGCTTGAATTACTTTTTTCAATTACAAATTACCAAGCACTTTTCTTAAGTAATTGACTTTGCAAGCCCCAATTACAAATCTATAAAAGGGCTTGAAGCACAGGGCTTTCAAGCCCTCAAAGTGCTTCAAGCACTTTCGCAAGCACAAAGCACTCAAGCCCTGCCCAGCTCTGTGACAGGTAGACATAAATGCATATAATTTGTAGGTACATTTCTTGGACATTAACTACCTATATCTCGAAAACTATTCATAGTATTGGGTTGGACCTATGAGAACTTTTTATCAGGAAATCAAGGTATACCACATATCAAAATTTCATTGAGTTTGACAGAAAACATATCAAAATTTTATTGAGTTTGGCTGAAGTTTTCTTTTCTTTGATATGAAAAGAAATAAACTCTTTGTAAAAATTAGATCTTATTGTACGGGTCACAATAACCATCAACATTTAGGTAAACTGTTCTGCACATTTCCACCAATTGCAAAGCTAATACCTATTTTGCTGAGTAAAATTTGTTTGTAACATAATTACTGTTTTTAACAAGTCACAAAGACTATTTTCTTTACAGTGAGCTGAATCCAAACAAAACATTTATTAGAAAGAAAAGACATTCAAGCGTTTCGTTTGATTGTGTAAATCCACTGTTTTTTTTTTGAGAACGCCATTAACAAACTCAATAATGATCTATAGTTTTTTACCTATGTATGAATTAATTCACCCTTTGAATATTATCTATAATTTTGTAAGAATCATGTATTCTTCATCTATCAGGACTCCAATAAAAACCAAATATAACATACACAAATCATTTATAAAATAAAGGTGCAAATAGAATTTGTTTAAATTTATATATAAGGCAGTAAGAGGTCAGTAAATATCTACTATTCTTTAACAAGAACTAATTATACATTTTAACGAGTAAAGGTAAAACATTAGATAGATATTATAGAAAAACAATTCATATAAAATTAACAAAACATCAATAAGTATAGAATAATACCTTGGGAAAATACTGAGAATGGAATAATTTGTAATAAAAATCAATATCTTAATTTGTCATATAATAATAAGTCATACCTATTATGACTAGACTATACGTTTTGAAAAGCATTACTGGATAATAATAATTATGCAGAACAATATTTTAGCATTTTAAATTTATACATTCAAAAATACATTTTTAATAGGTATATTTGTATAGGTGGCACAACCATCAAAAAGCACTTTAACCACATAAAACATTTCCTTTGCCGATTTTAATATGGTACTGTAAAATACTTGGATTAAAGCATCTAATACCTATTGAAAGTAGGTAAGTAGATTATTGTCATTGTTATAAAATTTGCATCATAATATTGAGCTTGTATATTGTATAGTAGAGATTGTATGGTCAATTTTCAAGAATATTTTACAGTACAATATTTAATAAGGACTAAAAAATTAAACTTCTTCAATTTTTGCAGGACGATCCATATTTTTCAAGGGAACCTCAATAACGTTGTGGTCTTTGGTTTCGCTCCAGCCCTTTTCTTGTTCTGCTAATCGATCTGCACTAGCTTTGCGCCTTTTATATTCTTCCAATTCGAAGTAATACCTAAAAGAACAAACTCTATGAGTCCTGTGATCTTGTTTTGTAATGTCCTCAGGTTATTTATTTACCTTGGAGTTGTTATTCCAAACAAAGATGCTAGTATTTCTCCCACATAATCAATGTAGGAAAGAGTAGAGGCACCAGCTGCCCAAGTTTTGTACATCATCCAAGGACCCCAAGTCATTGTTTCCTGAAGAATAATGTTCTAATCAATGCCTGAGTTGAGAATTCACATGCCTCGCCAACTTTTTCCGAACAAACCGGGAATCAATGGACAATTTTAACGTTTGTTCCTAATTTTGAGGTAAATGAGGTATAGTTTGTTCTAATATGTGTTCGTTTTTAATAAATGGGATTTATACAACAAAATAGCAAAATATTAACATAATATTGGGTATTTACATTGAAACTGGGGATAAAGGAGAATTCAAAATGCTCTTACGGGAACTTTACTTACACCGAGGGGGCGACCACTCCCGAAAAATATGTACACGTATTGCGGAAATTCTATGATTTCCAAATGATTGCAGCGATTTCGGAGAATTTTTCTAAAAATATGAGATTTCGGAGGATTGCGAGGTGATTTCAGTGACTGCAGAGACTGCAGGGGGGATTGCGAATAATTTTTGAGATTGCGAGGTGATTTTTGGCATTGCAAAGTGATTTCTGGGATTGCAAATATGATTGTGGAACATATTTCATTCCATTTTTTCACTATCTTTTGAATTTTTATGATTTTAATTTAAGTTTTTCATTCATAAGTTTGTAGATAGGTATTACAGGGTGGCCCATTTTTAATGTTTTAATAGGCTATATCGAAAACCAGCAGATATTAAAAATGTGGGAGCACATTCTGGAGCTGTTTTCTAAGAAAATAACAATGGCGAGGACAAATCACAGCTAACTTGATAAGTGTTTAGGAAATAAAGGGCACTTTCCAAATTTTGTCCAATTTTAAAAGTTTCTAATTTTTTTATTAATCAAGATATCCAAAAACCAAAAATACTTTCTACAAGTAGAATCCAGTGACATGACCAATTTTTTTTTCAGATGCCTCCGATTTTGGAATATAAACCAAAGTTGTGTTTTTTTTCAAATGGGGCACCCCGTATATTATTTTTCATTTGCATAGCGCTTTTTGAGCTGATTTTAATGATATAGAGGTTTTATAGCTTTACCTTCAATAGCTTTTAAGGAAAAAAATAAATTCCGTTTCTCCATAAGAAACAATGAGCTAGAAAGAGATAAGTCATGAAATAAATTATGTGTGGCTTATTTATTATTATTATTATTATTATTATTTATTATCACTCCCAATTCATAGTTTAAATTGAAAAAAAAAAACAAGCTTGTTGAAATGTTGAATTAAGAAGAGAAAGTAGCCGACTCATATTTCAACTATCTCTTTCTGATTCATTGTTTCTTATAAAGAAACGGAATTTATTTATTTTTTCTCAAAAACTTTCGAAGGTAAAGCTATAAAACCTTATGAGATCAGCTCGAAAAGAGCTATGCAATGAAGAAATAATATACGAGGTGTCTCATTTAAAAATACAACTTAACATCAGGGTTACTCGAGGGGTTACTATTCCAAAATCGGTGGCATCTCGAAAAAAAACAAAAACAAAAACTAGTCATGCCACTGGATTGTACTTGGAAAAAAATTTAGCCGTTAGTTGTCTTCCCCATTGTTATTTTCTCAAAAAAAATCTCTGCTGGTTTTCGATAAAGCCCATCAAAACATCAGAAATGGGCCACCCTGTACAGGGTGTCAAGTTATGAAGTATCACCACCTGTAACTTTTTATTTTTGATCGTACACTTGGCCAAACATAAAACTGGTACAGACAAAATATATATTTTAAATTTGCCTAGTGTGAGTCAGGCTTAACAACAAAAAGTCTCTTCTGAAAAACATAGACTAGACAGTTCTTGTCAATGTCAAAGTTGAGCAAAAGTAAATGCAAGATGTTTTTATGTTATGATTGGTTTAAATATGACACTGGCTTGTTTCTTTTGGTCATTGTTGAGGTAATAAAAAAGATCAATTTCCACAATACAACACAATAGGAAAATGCGTTTTGCAGTTTGTCCAGTTTTATGTTTGGCCAAGTGTACATAGAAAAGTTACAGGTGGTGGTACTTTATAACTTGATACCCTGTACATGTCCAACTGCTACTTTGAAAACTTGATTCAAGTGTCATTTTCCAATGATTCTGAAATACGCCCAATATACCAGGTGTCATAAAGAGCTCCATAATATTTTTCATTGGATAATGATCGATTCTCAAAAAAAAACACTGCAGAATCCGAAAATGAGAGCAACAAAAACTTGATGTCAATTATCAATGTACCGCAAAAACGCGCAAAATTCCGATCAACAGCTGATTTTTTATCCCCACTAGAGTTGATTTTGAGAGATTTCAGAGATTGCAAAAGTGATTGCATAGGATTTCAGCGATTGCGGAAAACGATTTCGGGACTGCAAGTAGGATTTCGGATATTGCAAAGTGACTGCGGGATTTCAGAATGATTTCGGAGATGATTGCAAGTGATTTCAGGCCAAATGTACACGTATTGCAGGAGGTGGTCGCAGTGCCGGATTTACCAATTTGCCGCCCTACGCCTGTTTTAGGCGCGTAACCAGAAAATTCAGATGGGGTGGGGGTTTCGCTATTGAAATAAGGAACATTGCATGACAATAGGGATGTCAGAAAATTTTGTAGAATTTCAAGGTCAATGCTTTATATGAAAAGAATAAAATTTTGAGGATAAAAAAGTATATGCTAAAACATAGGTTTCGTGGTTTTTAATTATATTTTCTGATCAAGTGGGGGGGTTTAACCCCTAAAACCTCCCCCGTGGCTACACCCCTGGCCTATTTGGAAAAGCCGCCCTCATGTTGGCACGAGCGGCGCGTACCTCAAAAAATGGGGGGCCAAGAAGATACAGGACTAGCACACGGACAGTGGCGTACATAGCCAGGCTTTTGGAGGCGGACTGTGCAAACTTAACAGGGACGCCAGTATTAAACGAAAATCATTTTGGATGCCACGCCCCCAAAAACGTTTATTTTGAGCCTTTTTTCATTTTTTTTTCTGTACTACCTATATTTTATTACCTAATATTAGTATAGATAGGTACATTATTTTGATCTGTGTGTGGTCTTTTGTTCGATTCATTTTTTTCATATGCCCTTTTTATTTTTTAAGCCGGCGTTTACAGGCTCTATAATTTTTTTGGTAGGTTTCTGTTTTTTGTGCTTTGTTATTTTTTGTATTTGTTATAATATTGTTTGAATTTATCAAAAATCAAATAAAGATCCAACGCAAGACAGAACCGCGTATTGCGTTGGATCTTCAGCTTTCTTCACCCGAACGCCTGTGCGTACTGTGCGTAAAGGGAAATACGGCACTAGGTGGTCGCCCCCTCGACTTACACATAAGTCTCTGGTTTGATTGGAAAAGTCAACAAATAATTTGACTTAGGTGAATAGTCTATTAAATCAAAACCCTAACAGGGCCATCTCACTGTGGTACACAGATGGTTACAGACTGAGACTATCGAACTGCTTGATAAGGGCAAGGCACTTCAGGTCCAAACTACAAGCTATCTTGGCCACTGGGCAAAGCTTTTGCAAAACAAAAATCTCTCAGGGCAAGTTTATAGTCGTTCCTTGAGGCTTCTTTGGTTCATAATGAACAATGGACATTTTGAGCCCTGTTCCTGGATGTTGTGAGTTTAGAATGGAAACTTGCTACTATTTGATAAGTCAATTTTAAATGTTCAAAGCTTGCTTAAGGCTTAAAGTCTGAGGAAACCTCAAGGAGCGACTATAAATTCGGCCCTCAGAGGTCCCTCAAGTAGTTCTTGAGAGAAAAAAGGGCGGCGCCTGTCACCATCTAAACGCTTGTTTTCTTATGTAGGAAACGTACCCTGCTTCTTAATTCTTAATTCACAAGGTCCTCTCCCAATGACTGAACATTAAATATTATTAAAATTTTGAGTAAATTAACGAACCGGATTTACAATTTCCTGGGTGGGTTTGTCACCATAATCTTCGTCGTCTGTGCTATATTCTTCCAGAAGCCCATCGGAAAAGGTCAGCGTCCGTTTGGGAGTCTTGTGCTTGTATGAAGCGACATTCGGAGGTGCATTTTCGTCGCAATAATCTTCGGGTCTAATTAAAACCATTGTTAATTATTAAAAAAAAAAACCTTCAACCAAACAACAAACAATACAATTCGTTGACACCAATTTCAATGATTGAGACAGAACAATCACAACAAACAAGGAACAACACAATAACCCTTTTCACGTGGCTCCGGTTTAACAAACCACAACATACCGCTCAAATTCAAGTGGTATCAGGGTTGCCAGACGTCCCACCTTAGGAGGGAGAGTCCCGCATTTTGTTAGTCGGTCCCGCCTTTTTTCTATTAATTTCAGGTCCCGCTTTTCACGTGAATTGTCCCGGTTTTCCCGCTTTTTCCACCCAATCTTCACATTTAGTGCAAAAAACACGCTCATTTTACAACTTGTTACATAAATAGCTATTTATTTATTTAAAATCGACGCAAAAATTTAATAACGAGCCTGAATCGCAAGAATTTCATCGAGGTCTGCGGGTGACGTCACCAATATTATGGTGACGTCACTCGCAGACCTGGTGGACTCGAGAACCGGCGAACGTACGCCTTCTCATGATGAGCAATCCTGTTAGTTTAGGATTCTTGGGTTTTAATAGTAAATGTTGTATGTTGTAGGTATAAAAATATCAAAAATTCCAACAAACTCCAACTCTTTCATTGCACAAACTAGCATCTGCAAAAAACTTTTTTTCTGCGATTGACAAGAAATGGCATCATTTTTGACCAGTTGACAGGTCGCAAAACTCAACATTCTGGTATTTTAATTATGTTTCAATAGTTGCTAAGGAATCAATGAATAACAAACGAGAATCGCTTTTCCGGCCTAGGCCGGGAAAGTGATTCTCGTACTGCTGAATAATTGGAACAAGAAGACAAGATATTTGACCGATCGCAGAGAAAATAGTATGTGTACTTCGACTACTTCGGTGGAAAAGCACATTCTCGGCCTTCGGTGTTGGCCGGCCTCGGCTACGCCTCGCCCATCAACTTACACCGTCGGCCGAGAATGTGTCACTTTTCCACCTAAATACACTATATACTATTTTCTGGCCATTGACAAATAAATAACTTTCGTCATATATCACCTTAGCCGAAAACGTCACTTTCGTCACTAGTGATGAAATATCTAGTGACGAAAGTTAAAAACGAGAACTTTTTATAGATGGCGTCTTGATTCGTCCACGTTTTCAAGCGCCATCTATTAAACGAAGTAGGAACCTTTGTGATTTGTGAGAAAAACAGACAAAGGAAAAAACATTAGTTTAACAGCAAAAACCATAACATGGTTGTTGGCGTAATGATTGATGTTTTAGAATCACCTTCGGAGTTACGTGGACTGTAAGAGCAACTAATGAATATGTAGCAAAAAATAACCATACAAAAGACAATATGATAAAAGGCGCCTTACCTGTGGTTCTGGGGTTCTTCTAGCTCAAAGTTAATTATTAATACCGGGATCCTGGGTCTTGTTTCGGTTGCACAACACTACCGGCTTTTATTTCGAACCGGTAACCGGCGAGCTCGCGAATTCATCGACTTTCTTGTGTGCGAAAACGGATTAAAAAATGTGTGTTCGTGTTTCGTGTTTGGCGAAAAGAGAGAGAGTGTTTCGCAGTCGCTTGGCAGTACGAATCGAGTGTTTTTCGTACCTTTTTTGTCGACCTCGGTTCCATACCGAGGGCGCTGGTGTTCCTTACATAGGAGGCGCTATACCTATTTGAATTTGTATGGTTTTTCAAAATGAGCAAAATTCGTGGCTTTGACACTCTTGAAGAGATGCACATACAATGGTCATAGCGTTTATTTATAGGGTATGGTATAAATAATGTTGTTTTCTATGTTGTTTGGTCGGGGTCGGAAAGCATTTATTTTGTTATCTAATAAAAGAGATTTTTATTTTATGGTCGAGTTTTGGTTGAATTATCAAAAAGATTTGGGCGTGGCTCCAAAAAATTTGTTGGGCTTTTGCTCAAGGGGATCCATAGGAGGGGAACACATTAACACATTGGGCTCTTGCCCCGCCCCCCACCCCCTTATGCTTTTGGGCGTGGCAACCGAAAAAAAATTAGCTTTCCCTCTGGATAACATCAGTCCCGCTTTTTCATTTCAAAGATCTGGCAACCCTGAGTGGTATCGATCATGTCACTTTGTAACCGGGTTAGAAAACGGTATGTCATTTCTCTAACCAGCTCGGTGATTTACGTTTAACGGTTAGAACAAAAAAATAGAAAATTTGTAAACAGAGAGCGGGAAAATTGTGACAGGACCAATTAACTTAACCAAAAACTGGAATGCGAACACATATTGACGAACGTGAAGCCTAGTGCCGCTGCTGCGGAGGGGATACCTGTTTTTGTCGCACTCATTATGTTAAAAGGCGGAAATTGCTTCCAACATGTATTCCAATTGATGAAACCTGTGAAGGTAAATATGACAAAACTTTCCAAAACATCATATGTCAGCGAGCAACAGAAAAAAACAATATTCCCCTTTGTGGCATCTGTCTTTCATGGCTACATTTTTTTGGCAGATATGGCAATGTGTGCGCATTCCAGTTTTTTACTATAGTTCATTATCATTGGACAGGACTGAAATAAAGTTGTGTTTTGTTCATATTTTGAAGTTTCTACCTACCTATAATCAATTGACGAACATGGAAGCAATTAAAGTTACAATAAATAATAGGGAATTTTTTTTTCAAGATACACGGGGATTTTTGGTGCAGTTACTAAAAGGTAAATCAACCTATTATAAATATTTGACAGGTAGTTGGATTGCTTAAGTTTTAAAATAACATTTTTCTAACCGTTCGTTTTCAAGTGGCATTTTCAATAACGTCATCACTTGACATACCGCTAGTAACCGTTTTGTAACCCGGTTAGTGTAAACCGGAGCGACGTGAAAAGGTGTAATGCGAATTGTCAATCTGACAAAGGGCACTTTCTAATGGTGTTTCCGATTGGTAGATTTATGGCGTTTTCCATTTGTTGCACGGAGGTGCACTCAGTGCAATTTTTATATTCCATTTGACTGCACATTTTCAGTTTTCATTTTCCATTTGAAATTCAGTGCAATTATTTATGCACTCAGTGCGCATTTTTTGGCACGAGCTAGAAAGGCTCGTGGAGAGCCAGTGCAGTTTGTTTTGTTTTTGTTTACATGTACCGTACATAAAAATGTCTGCTAATTTCCAAAGAAAAAGTTTTTGCACTTTTGGATTTGATATGTAGCAGCAGCGAACTTGAATTCTATGACGAAATTATCTTATTTGAACGTATTCCGCAGCTTATCCACGTTGTTTTTAGATATATTATTATTTATTATTGTTGTTTAAAAATATTGTCTGATGCGAAGTACTTTAAATTATTTATAGATAGTCAATGGACCATCGAACTAAATATTTATTTAGTATGACTTCTTCTTCATTAACTCTAAAATTCATTTCAAATACATCAATTTTTTAAATAGTTTTTGTAGTTAACTCTAGAACCATAGAACGACAGCCCAGACTAAGCTTATTAATATTACAATTTTAGGCTGTTCATTTGTACTGCTTTTCTTGTTTCAAGCAGATCTCATCAGCTGATCGGCGTTCACTTCACTTGTCCCATAACTCCCATATAATAAGCTCATAAATAGCAGCTCCTAGCATATCTTCCTGATTTTGCGAGTAGGTAGCAAGTACAAATGAACAGCCTCTATACTATAAAACATGCAGAGCAGGTAACCAGAAACCGGCAAATGCTAAACAAAAACAACTAACCAACATATGATTTTACATAACCCCAGAATCCGAGCCGAGTCTGCATTTTTGCTTTCCATTTATACTGCACTGGTGCGCGTTTTTGACAGCACTAGAAAAATTCTCGTGCGCACTGAATGCTGCACTGAGACGACAAATGGAAAACGCCATTAGTGCGGAACTAGTGCAATTTTTTCTATTCCTGTCATTTTCTTCTACTCGATTAAAAGGATGCAAATACACTCAGTGTGCACTGAATCTACCAATCGGAAACGCCATAAAATTCACCAGTAACCCAACCAATAACCTCGTCGTGTGGCACCTTGCACTCACTAGCAAGGATATTACGCCAGAGAATCGCACGTGATGCAATCGCAGTCCTTGTTGTTCTAGTGTTTTATTAAATATACTAGGCAAGTTCTCCATGTAAGGCCTCGCAAAACAAGATGCATCAGTCGCTCAAACGTAGCTGGAGCATTACACAATCCGAAAGGCATTACGCTAAAATGGTATATCCCGCAACCATTGCACCATAACCCACTTCCGGTACTGAAGGCAGTTTTCTCTTTGTTCATCTTTGTGTATCCACTTTTGAGATCCAGGGTGGAAAACCATTTGGAGCCCGATAGAGCTGTTAATGTATCGTCTATCTTCGGGAGAGAAAAACTGTCCTTCTTGTTGACGACATTAAGCTTATGGTAGTCCACACAAAATCTAAGACTTCCATCTTTCTTCGTAACCAATAAATACTACTGGCGCAGACCATGGACTATTTGACTCCTTAATAATTCTCTCTGGAAGCATTTTATCAATTTCATTTTCCACTTCCTGCTGTTTAGCTACTGGCATATATACGTTGAGGTGGTTGTCTTAATTGGGTGTGCCAATTCAGTATCAATTTTGTGTTGAATTATACTGGTCCGTCGATCTGGTTTGATTAGACATCACAAATACGTCTGCTTCTTCCAAGATGAAATCTGTGGCTTCCTGAAGTCTATCTGGATCGAAGTGTTTCCATGATTCGCCTATCTGGTAGGTCACTGCAGTTCGATATTTGCTTAGCTGGTTCGAGAGTTCCAATAATATCTCCTTCTTTTGTTTTTACTGTTCCAGATGAAACATTGGCAATTATTATCATAATGTCTCCATACTCTCCATTTGTTCTTACTAGAGTCTTTCCATCGAGAATTTTTTCTGGTTTATCTCCAATAAAATTATGTGTTAGTCCAACGCAGCACCCAGAGGGTTTGTTTCCAATTTGCAATGCTCAAATGATCTTCTCAGTACCTACTTCCAGGAATCCTCATCGGGTTTATGGCGAAAATCTTAATGGCTTGGGATTCTTCTTGTGTAATTAGGACAAATTCTTCATTACCGAAAAGGATGTTCATTGAAGAATCTAAAGAGAAACCATGTTGGCCGA